AGCGGCACGACCATGTATGATGACGTCATCGTTTCCCTGCACACGGAAGCCATCTTCGCAATGAACCTCGGTGTTACGCTAAATGTGCATTTGCATGTTTAAGTCGGAGTAATTTAGAACTTATTTGAATTTGAAACGCTATGCAAATCCGACCCATCTACAAACTCGCCCTCTCACCCCCAAGCTTCTTCCCTGTGACCCCAGAGAACCATGCATCCAACGCTTCACACGTACCCTTGCCTTCCGCCAGCTTAACAACGACACCAACATAGCCGTCCGGCCTTACAACGACAACACCACCTGTTTCCTCATCAAGACCCATCTTAGCATGCGCCGCAGCCTTTGCATCAGGAACCCTCTGGTCCCAGACATCATCGGCGTAAACGTGATCGGCGTAGCGGCTGAAAGGCTGAGGTAGTTGCTCATCGATGTGAATACTTGAGCGGGGCGCCGAAAAGACGAGGGCCAGGGAAAGGAAATCGGTGTGGGGGTTGTGGCGTTCGTGGTACCGGTCTTTCTCCTTGATATCGCGGTGGAGGAACGTGCTGAAGAAGGATGTAGGAGATGACATCTGCGACGCCAAGTCCTTAAGTGCCGTTGCGCTCTTGTCCAAGCTACCACCGAAGATGAACATGCGGTAGGAGCCGTTCATGGGGATTTCTTGTTCGAGATGTACGACGTTGGCGTCTACGACTCGTGTGACGGTTGCGGGGGTCATGATTCTGCCTGTCCGTTGGCTTGTGCCGTTTTGGTAGGAGAGGATGAGGGGGTGCTGTGCGGAGTGTTCGGGGCCCCAGTTTATCATGTTGGGTTTGTAGGCTACGCCGTATCCGCTGGTGAACTCGCAGCTGGCTTTGAATGTCTTGATGAACTCGTTGTCTTCGGGGGCTTCTTTTGCGGATGCGCCGGCGACTTCGCCAGCTGATGGTATCCGTGCGGAGAAGAGCTTTGCGTAGCGGGCGTCGAAGTCGAGGAGCGTTTCGGCGATGAGTTTGCGTTCGGATTCGTATGTCGAGAGGAGGGAGCGGGGTGCCCAGCCGCTCTCTACGTGATGGATCTTCCATGCAATGTTTACTGCGTCCAAGAACGCTGTGTTCATTCCCTGGCCAGCCTTGGGGCTATGTGTGTGGCATGCATCACCACCCATGAAGACGCGCTCGTCGAGTGTGTAGCGTTCCGCGATACCTTGGCCGATAGGGTAGACTGAGTACCATTCTACGCGGTCCCAAGAGATGGTGTACGGTTCGAAGATCTTTTTGGCACGCGCCTGAACATCCTCCGCAGTGGCGGATTTCCGCGGGTCCCAGTCTTTGTCCGTGGAAGATGCGACTTGGATATACAAGCGGACCATGTTGTTCTCGCGTGGGATGATCATAATGGAGCCGTTGTCGGAGTGAATTGTGCATTTCATCTATGTTACTGTTAGTACCCCAGGAGCAAAGAACATAGGAGATACATACCTTGATGTCGGGGAAGTTCGTCCTGACAACACCATCCATGACACCCCAAACATGCGCAATAGGATCCTTATAGATCATCTTGACACCCAGCTGATCCCGGACAAAACTCCTCGCTCCCTCTCCACTGAACAAGTACTTCGCGCGTACAGTCTCTTCGTGGGTGCCATCGACATGCGCCAGGTTGACCTCAACAGGATACGTCTGATCCTTGCCATCGTTCTTGAAACCCTTGATCGTCCAGGGTCTTTGGATCTGACCACCGTTCTTCTCGATATCCCCAATAAACGTCCTCTCAATCATACCCTGGTGGAGAAGCGTAGTAAACGGATACCGCGCATCGATGAACTTTGGACAACTAGCCCAAGTACCTGTCCTATGAATACCCTTTTGCGCTGGATCCCAAAAAGCCACCTCATAAACCTTTGCAGGTTCGTATTCCATAATCTTTCGCTTAAGACCCATGTTGCGTAGGAGATCGAGGGAACGCGGCTGGATTCCGTCTGCGCGTCCAGTGGCGGTCGGCTCCGGTCGATTGTCGATGTGCTTGATCTTGTAGCCCCATCTCGCGAGACATGTTGACAGACAGAGACCAACGGGGCCTGCGCCCACGATAACGATATCGTAGTTTTCCACCGCCATTGCTATTCTTTCAAATAATATCCAAAGAAGAGGCTCTCAGGTAGACACAAACGCGTCGGGAACGATCCGGGAATACGGATGATGCCCCACACTCAATGATCAAAGTCAAGTAATCTCTTCGCTCTCAGCTACACCGAAATGCTCAATGCAGGCGACAGGGCGTAAAGAAAGAGGCGTAAAAGATGTAAAAAGGGTATAAAGTATATTAACTCGAACAATAACCGACGATCCCAGTGACCGGCACCTGCTCTTTAAGAATCAGTTAAACGACGCCATCAAACCACGGACCAAGGCTAGCCTCGGCCGCGTCTTCGTCATGGCAAGACAACTCGGGAGTGCGTAGTGCGCGCCGGCACACGACTTCGGATGCGCGTGAGAGGGAACCAGGGCCTGGGGACCTGGGTACGTGGGTCGCCGCGTGCGCCGAATGGGCATGCCGTCATGTTGCGGGGAGTCTGACTAGGCGGTTGGCGGAACTGATGCGCGGCATTTTGAGCGCCAAGACGTATCTCGCACTTTGCCTTTTGGAGGGCTAGTGTGGTTGCATGCAGGTTAGGTGACTCGCAGCCGCGATCTGGGCGAGGCAGGCGAGGTTGGCATGGAGTATCGTGAAGTGGAGTGTTTCGGCCGCTTACATTTACCGCTTCTTCTTCCCTTGATGTTCGGTGTGTGAGTAGGATTCCTTTTTGCTTTTTGACTTCGTACGAGGGTGCGTGTACTGCCAATGAGGGTGCAGGTAATAGCGCCGAAGCTTGTCGTTGAGATGAAGATAAGACTGCACGTGTAAGTAAGACTACGCTTGCGAGTACCGAGTATGCTTCCCGTGGAGTTTGCATCGAGGGTGTTGCCGCAGAATGTCATAGCTTCAACAGGAGCCTTGCTGCTAGTGAATGAAAAGGATCTAAATTTCGCCGTGACGGTCTCGAAATCCTCCGTCTTGATTCTGAAATGTACCGTGCAGATGTTGAAATTGGCCGTGGTGATATGTATCGTGATTGACGAAACGTTCTGGATGTAAGAAAGCTCACATCATGTAGATCATCATAATCTTTGCGACCCAAGGCATCTTACGCCAGCTTGTTTCGATATCGGCATTCACGCTTGACCTCGTTGACATTCATCTCACTTTCAATCAGACGCACCTATTAAGTACCACAATAATGCGAGTCCGTAGAGCAACTTGCCCCGGTGAATGTACTTCTGTATTCGTACAATCATGTATGATACCAATAATATATACCAGAACCCAGACGCCAGCGCCGTTCACACAAAGCCGACTAAGCTTTGCGTATAATGTTCGGGACATGCCGCATGAACGCTGAAGCCCAGACACGGCCAAACATGCTGATGATGCAAAAAAGACTGCATCAAGTCAATCTGTCGCCTCCACATACTTCCATCGAAGCCAGGTCCCGGTAATGCCCCGCAAGCTTTTGCAGCATTGTGTGGCAACCGGCGAGGTCTTCCCGCTTCATCTCCCCCGGTGGTGTTCGATCCAAAGTGGATGGATATCCTCAAGATACTGTCATGTTGCCGAGTGCGACTGCCATTCTCTCCTCTTCCTTTCGCGCTCTCGCTGCCTCGGTTTCCTTCCTCATGGTCTCCAAGTTCCACTCGTCGCCGCCCTCATCATCACTATCCGCATCGCTGTCTTGTGCCCAGTCACCCTTCTCGAACATAGCCCTACCAGTGGCATCCTTCATCTTCTTGGCCTCCTCCTCAGCCTGCTTCTTGTCGATACGCTCCTTCTTCCACTTGGCGAATGTTTCGGGCGTCACAGGTGTGAGCTTGCCGGTAAGCTTGTGTCGTTCAGATTCAAGGAAGTCTTCGAGGGTGAGGGTGTTGAGTGGTGAGTTGGCCATTAGGGCCTTTTCGGCGGCGCGTTGTTCCCTAGTCTTGATGACGAATCTGAAGAACATGTTAGTTTCGATTCCCAGATGTGTTCTTTCTGTATGGTGACAAAGAATTGAGAATACGTACCCAGGTGGTAGAGAGTGCTTGTACATGCACTTGTCGCCTTAGATACAGGTCAGCGCGCGCCTCACATACATTTCGTTGTCGAAACTCACCTCCGTTCGGGCACGTCCAGAACCAACCATACTTCTGGTCCTCGATAGCCTGAACAAAGTACTTGCACACTTTGTCTGTTGTGGTCTTTGGGTTGCCGTGCTTGCTGAGAACGACCTGTCGCAGCTTTTCCTCGTCCCAATCGTCCATGTTATCCTTCTTCCGTCGCTCCTCTTCCTCTTCCTTTTCTTGGTCTCTGTTATCGGTATATAAACTCCTCTTCTCTGTTTTGCGCTCGATGGCCAGGTCATGGCTGAACTTGCACTTCTTGCCCTTTTCGCAGTTTCCCTTCTTGTAGAACTGGCATAGTACGGTCTTAGGGTCGGTGCCAAAAGGTACTTTCTGGACCTGCACTGGTTTGAAGAGCTCGGCGGTCTCTTTGCGGGCTTGTTCTGCCGCCGCCTTGTCTTTCTCGCGCTGGGCTTTCTCAGCGGCCTTGCGCTTTTCGTCGGGTGTGCCACCTGATGCGGTGGTGGCTTTGAGTTGCGCAATCTGCTTCTGGGCGGCTCCTCCCTTCTTATTCTTCATACCAAAGGTCTTGTCTACGGCGACCTTCTTCACCTTGGGCTGCTCGCCCTTGCCTTTGGGTGGCATCTTGGCTTATTGTGTACGGACGTTGAAGTGACAGTGGGGTGGGTGGTTTGGAATGTTCCAAGGATCCGGGCGCCTTGGAGAGTCGAAAATTCGGTGCCTGGCGGGGGATATGGGACCTGGGTCGTGTGTGTCAAAGTGAGAATGACGCTGTGTGGGGTGGAATTTCGAGTGGCGGAGCATCTGGCGCTAGAGCCAGCCCTACCTTCGCCGACATTCCCGAAGCTTCAAGGTGGCCTTCACATGAACCCCAATAGTCAATCGCAGCGCATCCAATACTGTCGCGACATTCCCGTCTCTCGAATTGTTCTGTCGCATCTAGCTTCCGTAAGCTCTTGGCATTCTTGTCTCTGCCATTGGATTTACTAACAACTCCGCAGCGCCCTTGACGCCTTACACCTGTCACCCAGCTACACTCGACGCGCGGTCGCACCCAAGATGATTACCGACAGCCAACTTTACTCGCTCGCCATCTTCCTCGGAAGCGCTGCCATGCTGCTCATCGTTCTGTACCATTTTCTCGAGGTCAATTCCGACGATCACAAAGTTGAGGAGAAGCCCAAGGCCGCAGCAGGCAAGGTCAAGGCATGAGTTGCGCGGTGCATACGTGGGAGAGGGTCACAATAAGGAAAGAGGCTGGGGAGAAGACAAGGGATACCACTTGCAGCTCGGAGACTTTTATCGAATGGGGGCATGGAGTTCTGGCGCATCAATATAGCGGTTTGGTCGCTGATGGATTGAACATGGTTGAATTGGCTATGGCTTACGCATGGAGACATGCTTCGGTTTCCTTCTACTGCGCACCCACAAAGACTCCCAATGCGCCTTGTCCTCGCTATGGGTATACGCGTACTTATACAAAATTACCAAATCTGAAGTTATTCGCAGTCCTCAATCCTCGGCATCTACCAGCTCCTCCTCTTCCTCGTCGCCTTCGATGAAACCCCTTCGACGCTTCTCGTTGGCAAGCGTTACGCCTCCACGATCCATACCGGGTCCACCAATGCGCTTCTTGAGCGACACAAGTCTTTCATGCGCATCGCGGGCTTCTTCTTCCGCTGAACGCTTGGGCGGACGTCCGCGACCGCGACCTTGGCCAACAGGTGCCTGTGGTGACATGCTCAGTGCTTCTATTCGCTCGGGCTCGACTGTGATACGTGGTGTAACTTGACGTCCCTGCGCATCGCTGAGATATGCCTCAGAATCATGCGAGTCTATGAATGAGAGCGTTAGATCATTTCTCTCCAAGTGTTCAACGACGATCTAAGCCCATCAATTATCTTCCTTACCAGAGAGACCCCCAGTCGGCCCATCACCAAGCTGCCATGACAGAGGACTGATATGGGCTTCGTATATGTGATTGCGCCAGTTGCTCTCTAGATCGAAGGAATGAGGCTGATGACGCTCGATGCTCATGTTCGTCATAGGGTCGTAGTTGGTGACTTCTTTGCCGCAATCATCCCACAAGCATTCCAGAGTCTCCTTGCGATGCACCTTGTATATATGCTTTTGAAGCGTCTCTAGATTGTGTAGATCCGCCTGACAGTTCTGCCACTTGCACTTATACGATCGGTACTGCGGGATATGGTTTGCAACACTCGGCGACCGGGAGCTGATACGGATGGGCTCGTTGCGCAATAAGCTTGGTTGCGGCGGCTGGTGCTTGAGAGGACCTGTGTGACCGTTCAGAGCTGGACGAGACTGCGCAGCCGGAGATCCATGGATTGCCTTTCTCCACCCAATTGGGCGGCCCTTCTTCTTCGGCAGTGGCTTGCCATCAGGCCCATACTCCGTAGCGGAGCGGAATGCTTGATATCCAACCCCAGCAGCACCGGAAGTAGGGCGTGGGGCACTTTGGCTCATAGAAACGGGGTTGCTCGGACGTTTGGGTGTCGCTGGACCTGGACCCGCACCGTTGGGGAGGGAGTGTCGAGGAGGGCGACCGCGGCGCTTCTGCTTAAACGGATTGATGGCTTCGGGTAGAGCTTGGACCTTCTGAGCCCCACCTTCACCAATCGCACTGGGCGGAGCGCGGACACGACGCGCTTCATCGTCGTCGGAATCGTCTTCCTCATCGTCTGCATCCTCAGTCAAGCCTTGAACGCCGTCTTTGAAATACCCTGGAGGAGGTCGTCCTGGATCAATCAAGTCCCACCTGATTGTACTAAGATCCGATTCCCAAGTTATCTGTGGTAATGTGGTCCTCAGCCCATCTAGATGTTGGTTCAGATTGCGCTCAGACGGATGGCGTCCACAAGCGAGGAGTACATCCCTTGCAATCGTGGCAGGGTTGTATGTGTTTCGACGGAGAGCATTCTTCTTCTCAAGTGGTTCAACATAGACCTGGTACCGGAGTTCGTTAGGCGGCGGATGGACTGGCGGCGGCGCAGATGCTTGTGGCTGATATGAAGGAGTGTTTGCTATGGGGAAGTTCGGGGTGGAAGGCTCTTCATCGACAGCCATGGCATCTTGATGCGAGTACGATGCGTAAGGGTCTGCATTCATTCTCTTGCGCGGCGGACCCATGTCTTCCTCTTCTGAAAGTTGAGACAAGTCGATGAGATCGCTCAGATTGCGTTTGCGAGCAGCCTCTTCCTTGTTTGCTGGCTTTCTCAGCTCGGGCTTGATTGGCACCATCTCGGCGACGGGTGCAGGCGCAGGTGCGGGTGCGGGCGACGCGCTCCCTGGGAACGACGGGTAAGAGCTTCCGTTCGCTGGTGAGGCAGTTGCTGGTGTATATTGAGGGGTCGGCGCAACGGGGGTCGCGACTTCCTTTCTCATGACGGCAGGCGGCACTGGCGGTTTTTGTACTGGAACTGGCGCCGCCTGTACTGCCTTGCGGGATGCGGAATTCACATCTGGTACTGCTGTGAGTAGGCTCTTAGCGAACACTGCGCGATCTAGCTTCAGGCCCATTTGCTCTAGTTGTTCGCACAACTCGATGTAGGAAGGGTTGCTGTTGAGTAGGCCCAATATCTGGCTAGGTTCAACTTTGCGAACGTCATTTTGGGCGTTGAGATATGCTGCTGCTGCGCTCGCCAGATGTGCCTTCTTCTCGGGTGGCCAGTGAGTGTTACCTGTGGGTCGAGTGGGGGTCGGCTGTGCTTGTCTGACGGGGACAGCTTGGGGTACGGCAGGCGTAGCTGGCTTCGCTACTGGTTTGGGTGTCGCCTTCTTCTTCGAGTTCGTCGCTTGGGGCGTGACGGTTTGTGCAGCCTGTGCGGGTTGCGGGGTGGCAGACTGAGGAGCGGGTTTGTTCTGCGCAGTCGGAGACTTGGGCGCTTTCGCTCTGCGTTCCTCTTCCCAGATTCGAGCTAGGAGTGCCGGGTCTTTACTGTTTAGCTCTCTCATCTTAGCCATCATCGCTCGGATCTCGCTCTCTAGTGCTTCAGCAGGGCCGTCGGCACTAGATGCTGCAGAAGCTGCTTCCGTCGCATTCGCTTGCTGTTTTTGCGCCTTCTTCGCTCTTGGCTTGGGTTGTGACGCGCGCAACCTGGCCTCCTCCTCCTCTTGTTGTTTGCGTTCCTCTTCCCTCTTTTGCTCCTCTAGTTTGCGCGTCTCCTCGGCGATCCTCTCTTCTTCTGCGCGCGCTGCATCTAGAATCGCCTGCTGCGCAGCCTGTTTTCGCTGATATTCTGGCCATGGATCGTAAACTGCCATGGGGTCTACAGTGGTGGTGCCCTGCGCACTGTATGTGTCCGCCATACTGGTGGCCGGTGCCGGTGGTGGCGGCACGATCGCAGAAGGCATTTGCGCGTTGCCGTAGTTGTAGGCCGTTGACGATGTGGCGTTCTGAGAGTTACGCGAGGCTTCAGCAGCAACGCTAGGGAGCTGTCGAGCATTGTAATCGCCATACTGCTGGTTCGCCGTGGTGGTCATACTTGCGCTGCGTGAGTTGCTAACAGGCGCATTGTTGTACTGAGGCTGGGCTGGACTGGCAGAGCGCTGTTGCTGCTGGGTGTACATCGCTTGGGTTCTCTGAGTCTGGGAAGGGTACCCTGCCGTCACGGCCGGTGATGGCAAGCCTCGACTCGCTGGCTGCGCGCGATTGTTGTTGACGCTCCGTGGACGCGCTTGCGCTTGTCCGTAGCCAGCGTGGGGTTGTTGCGCCTGTACTTGGGGCGAATGCGAATTGCCGGCGGCATAGCGACTTGAGTGCGAAGGGGCGGCCGTGTTAGTTGCGGTGAAGCCCGCTTGAGTATTCGTCGGCGTGGGATTATTCGTATACGATGTCGAGCTGCTCATATTACGCAGAACCTCGGCGGCGCCTCTGGTTGTCTCTCGTGTCCCGCCATAGTTGTTGCTACTCCATGAGTTATCTTGCACCGTTCCATATCCACTGTTTTGGTTCGCGTACGATTGCGGCTGGTAGGAGACGTAGTCTTGCGCTTGGGTCGTCGGCGGCTGCTGATACTGGCGGGATGGTTGCGCAGCGCTGTTCGCAGCGGGTGCAGTCTGGTATGCCGAATACTGTTGCGCCGAACTTTGTTGATACGGGTAGCTATAAGGATTGTAGTTGTTTGACGACATAGCAGCGTATTCCTATAGGTCTGCAAGCCCTTGCGAAGCCACTATATAGGGAAGATTCGGTCGCTGCATGAGGACCGTGGTTCGCGGGAAGGGGCTCGGGTAGGCGTGAGCGGGGGTTCGGGTGGATGTAGATGCAATATTAATACCGCACTCTGGAATGGTCCGTATCGAGGCTGCACCTTGGCGCAAGGTATGCGCTGGACGAGAGAGCAGACTGACTGCGACGCGTGTTGAAAGTGCGCGACGGCGGCTCGGCGATGCGCTCTATGATGCAGACGCGACTTGCAGCGCCGGACCATTCGGCGCGGAGAAACCACTCCTCCGACCGCGCTAGCGAAGCGAAGCCGCCCTAGCAGAGGCACTTCTCACAACACCAATTTTGTGATCGCGACACGAACTTTGTCTACTAACCCGACAACCGCCAATCCCACAGCAAAAATGACCAAGGTTAACGCAATGGTCGCGAGCTCTCGACGCAAGTCCCGAAAGGCGCACTTCAGTGCGCCGAGTAGTGTGCGTCGGGTCATCATGAGCGTATGAAGAGACTTGGAACATTGCATGGGACATGTTCTAACAACCTTCAGGCGCCTTTGAGTAAGGAGCTCCGCGAGAAGCACGGAGTGCGCAGCATTCCCGTCCGCAAGGATGTAAGTATCCAGATCTTCTCCCCCAGTTTCGTCGTATGCTGACTTTTCCTAGGACGAGGTCATGGTCGTCCGCGGCTCCAACAAGGGACGTGAGGGCAAGATCTCCTCCGTCTACCGCCTCAAGTACTGCCTCCACGTCAACGGCAGTGCGTAGCCCTCTATTCCCACTCGCTAGCAGATATACTAATTCACAACACAGTTGTTCGCGAGAAGAGCAACGGCCAGTCCGTCCCCATCCCCATCGCTGCCTCCAAGGTCGTCGTCACCAAGCTCAAGCTCGACAAGGACCGTGAGCAAATCCTGGAGCGCAAGTCCGCCGGTCGCGAGGAGAAGAAGAAGCAGAGGGAGCAATAAGCGTATCGTCCCTTTCTATTGACGATACACTACGGCTATGAGGGACATCGACACGAGCATCCCCGTCCCTAGAGGATGAAATGCATATCATGGGTTCACGGTTTGGGCATGCGACACGCGCATGGAAAAGCAGGGCGTTATACCGGCTTCTAGCTCGAACAATGGACTTGCCATCATGCGGCCCCGTCGAAGTTTTCTGTTCGAAATGATACCACGATGGAATGGAGTTTGGCAACGAATGAGATTTGTTACTCCAGCCGTCGCAGTGACACTCTACGTGAAGTTTGACACGAACGCTAGTATATCTACTCCCCAACCGAACCTGATGGTTGACGTGAGTTATACGACTAGCGGAGAAGAACGCCAGACGACAGCAGTCGTTGCTCGCATGCAGACCATCTTTGAGATTTCCCCATGACGGAGATGGTTTGACGCTGAGACACATTCCTTCAACTATACACATGGCTTGTGTATGTCAGTATGACTACAGTGTCAACTGCAAACTTTGAATGAAACCACAGCCATGTTTGACCAGTGCAGCGTACCGCTCAATTGCACACATTCAGACCTCTCGTGATCTCCTGTGTAGCTACGACTACGGGCTTAGCATCTTAGAGATCCCCATCCCTGGTTCTCGGAGTTCATCAATTCTCGCATCACACTTACCAATTCGTTCCATATTGACCCGGTAGAAGTTACTTCTAAGCGTCAGAAGTCGTTAAGTAGCAATACAATTTATCTGCCTCGACTCCGCAGTACCCACACCTCTATCGCATCTTCTTCGCAGAGCTCAACACATCTTATCTCCACCGTGGCATCTCCACTGGTTCCTTCACGCATCGACCTATCCGCTTAGCGTTCCGAAAAAACACATGGTGGCGTTCGTCACATTTTGCTCGTACATGTAAACTGCTGTTTCGGCTACTGCACATCGCCACAACTGTGGTGTACCTACTGCACATGGAAACAAAAGCTGCCCAACGCCAACGATAACTAATCGATAAGATACTACGGGACTCTATGTTTGGGTTTGTGTACTACTGTAAGAGGTGCTGGCAAATCGAATGTCGTCTGGCGAGTGCCAGATCTCGTGCTAATGGAGGCTGAGGGCTAGATGCAGATAGTGGATCTGTCGCTCGGGTAGGCGGCGGGTGAGTTATAGAAGGTAGAGCTCGTTTTAGGCGATAGATGGGTTTGTTATCCTTGGTCAGTGAGTCGTGTTCTCGTGGTGTGGTTGGTTGGTGAATTTTCTTGTGAGCTGCGCATGTGGGCAATTGAGCAAAATGACAAGCCTTAGACAAAATGTCAAGACAGGCATATCGATTGGCATATGTGCGACGTTTGCTTGTGGCATCCCATGGTTGGATACGAAGACTGCATACACGATACGACTGACCTCGGGTTTTCGTATCGATAGTGATGTTGCCTGAGCTGGAGATCTTGATGCTTTATCTCGTGTTCTATATCCGGACACGAACACTATTGAAAGTATTTTGTTATTGTATGCAACGCACAACGAACATGTTCTACCTCGCTATTCAAGACCCTTCCGAGGTCTGCTTTTTGCATCATCCTTGCTATCAGTAAAGATAAATGTAGATCAGGCGTCATGTGACATCAGCCTCCGCTGCGGTACGGTACGCGAATCTCACGCCTCATGAATCTGACATAACGTCGATCTTATATCTCACTCATATGAATAGCAAAGATGTTTCAGGCGCAAGTACAGGTACAGTGTAAGCGCGGCGTCTCCAAATAGCACGGCGTCAGATGCGTGTACATAAGTGCCGTGGGCGTAAAGTGGTAATACGGCACTTTGATCGCATGCATGATTGATCGGTTCCGCATAGAGAGCGGTTGTGATTACCGATATATGACGAGACCACTTCGCCATCGAGATATGGTGAATGCCTGGCATACATGCGACAGTGTAATGACAACCGTTGCGAGCAAGCGTGATGTGGCGGCGATGCCGGTTTTCCGCGACAGTTCATCTGGAAAAAGCAATCGTCACTTAGCAATGAAACGCATCCGAGTATAGATCGAACGCTGCGGTCCGCTCCTTGCTTCTTTCTTCCTCGGGTAACAACGTCTCGATGCTTTTTTGTATGGCCCGACATGATGGTTGTGACAGCTGCAAGTGCCGCTCACATGCCGCTGGATCCAATCTCCAATGCATGGGCATCTGCGCACGCATGACACTGGATAGAGGGCTTCAATGCTCAGCCACGTGCTTCCCCAGACCCACGGGCGCATGAAGAAACATGCTGGCTTAGTTGCGTGGCAAAGACTTAATTAGCAGGCATACCACTGCGAAACAGAGAGTCGCGAGTTGCCAGCGGAGGCATTGTTTCGCATAGCGAACATGTGGGTAAGGACCAGCCGTCTTCTTCAAACGCTCCGAGCCGTAAAGTCTCTCCAAGCCCAAGACCTTGGGATAGGCTCACCACCAAAAAGTCTGGACAACTTGTCTCGGGGCTTAGCAACGTGGCAAAGCAAGATTGAAGATCCGAGAAGATCCGTCTCGAATTGCGTGACAGTTGGGGACCGGGATCGCCTGGTGTGTCGGTAGCTGCCAGAGAGTTGTTTTGCCGATAGTTCATGAGTCTGCTGAAGGAACGTCGTTTCCAGCTCGCATGACATTGATGACGGCCAACTGCATCCTATGCGTGCCTAGCACGCAGCCGGATATTGCTGTCCCAATCTAGTGCAGTTGGCGGGGTAGGCATCCGAATGGTTAATGAGGATGTGCACTGTGCCACCAATGCGGTCACGGTTAAGGTTGGCTGCATGCAGGGCGTTTTTAGCAACGTCGAAAAGGCTCCGTGGTCGCTAGTGATCTCATAGACAACTATAGATCGTGATGTCGAGGCCATCGTGTTGCGCTTACGTCGTGAGGCGCGTGGTTAGCAGCTGGTGTGCTGTGGGCTGAGTCAGGGTAGGCACGCCTTGAGAAGGGCCGTGTTTCTGTTTCAGGTGCCCGCTAGAGCGTCTCTCGTGTCCCTCCCGTCACGAAGCCGCCCACTTGAGCGCGCGCCTCCCATTCTTTTTATTGCCATCATGCCATCACAGTCAGTAATCTCGAATCGTCGTCACTTGGATGTGATGCAAATGTGACGACGATGGGCGATACCAGCAAACGGCGTGTTGTCGTGCCTAAACCCCACAACCGGCTAGGAGAGTGCACAAAGTGCACAGTCTGCCCAGCGCCGCCAAACTGTTCGCCATAGCTTCCGGGGACGTCGCCCGGACGCGCACTATCGATAGGTACTACTTTACGTGCATGCATATACGGCTGCACACGTTTTTAGGCATACGAGAGTGCGAGCACTGAGGTCGAGTCCTCGGAACCTTCTTTTAAGTCTTTCTACTCCGGAGCATATCATCCGATCGTGGAATGGCGTGCGACAGGCGAGCAGAAAGAGGCCAGGAGAGGAGCGGTCTGTCTTGATTCGTGAAGTGGTCGAAGGAGCGGAAATGATCAGAACCCTTGCTGTGTCGAGCCTGGGAGTTTCATGCGCAAAGAGCGTGGGATGCACAACGAGCGACAAGATCGGCACCGCAGCAGCGAAAGTCGGGGCGAAGTGATGCCATCATGTATTCGAGTGCAATAATGCAGCGTTCGATGGCGCCGGGTACTGTTCGCCGTTGACCCCGCAGCTCTCAACATCCTCACGGTGCAGATTCTGCTGGTGCTGCGGTTGCACAGAAACCCAGGGACATGTTCCGACACTGGGGCTGTTTCCTCGCTGCAAGCATGTCTCTTGGCTAAAATAAACGCTAAATACTCTTGGTTAAGGCCAGGGGCACTGGCGAATAACGACGACAGCGGCGGGACGTCATTGGTCTGTCTCACCATTTGCCCCTGACACTCTTCGTGTGCATGGTCACACCCTCGCTCGTGCCGTCGCCGCTTAGGCCATTTGGGAGATGCCCAAGCCCACCCGATGGCTGCCCTTGCACGACCGTGAGCGCGAACGGACCCTCTCAGCGGCCGGTTGGACGTCTCCCTCTCGCTCAGGCTCACCTGTCTCTCCCCAGCTTCAGCCTCCGTGTGCCTGAACAGCCTCACCTAGACGGCTTTCCATCTCGACTCCCGCACACCGCTGAGCTGTGCTGCCTCTCATTTCGCCCTACCCTTCGTATACCTCTTCGCCTCTTTGAGAGAGGGTTGCCCCGTCGCTCCCTTTGCACTAGTCGGATCAATCCATCGTCGTCCTTCGCCAGATCGAACATACTGTCGCGCTCGGTCTCGACATCTGTCTTGGATTCGAGTACGTTCGACACGACCATTACTTGCTGGACCATACTGACGCTTTGTCGCACTATAGACGATTACGATTGTCTTTACGAGCCAATTGTATCCTTCAGTCGTCGCATTCGCCTTCCCAACGCGCGGCCGACCAACCTCCATCTTCGGACAACTAATAATCCTTGGACCTTACACCTAGTCATGCGAAGTCGAGTGGAATTATAATCAGTCTATTGCTTTACGTCTCAAGTCGAGGATAAACTCACATCACGTTCGCTATTCTTACCGGATCTAACACACGATCCACATCACCATGGCTCTCCCAAAGCCCGTATACCCGCTGAGTGAGCACTGCTCAATCATCTACGAGAACACGCTTTACGTATATTCGCCATCTGGATTCCAATCGCTAAAGCTTGAAGAGGGGGCAGAATGGAAGGCGCTGCCTATGGACATATCGCTTACCGGAGCGCAATGCGTGAAGGCAGTACCCAAGGGGGATGCGGCAGCTGCTAAGCTGTTCATTGTTGGAGGACGCGTCAACGAGACCGCTTCGACGTGGAACTATCCCGGACTGATGCACTACACATTCTCCAAGAAGAAGTGGGACTGGCAACGATCTGAGAGCTGGAACACACAAAATCGCGTCAACCATGACGCTGTCTACCTTCAAGACTCACAAAAGATTCTCGTCTACGCAGGGTCACAGACAGAGGGGGACAACGGCCCATCGTCGGAATCCTTCCTA